TTTTCGACATTCTAAAATTTGTGGGGCAAAGTAGTGCACCACTTTATTAGTGAAATAAAAAGCAGAGAATATATTATAAACGATTTTATTTTATTAGATATAATATTAGGAACATAAGAAACTTAAAAAACTATAAACAAGTAGTGATGCTCACGAGACGAGATTTTGCATGTAAAAACCGAGACGAGATCGAGACTTTTCATGGTATCATCTCGTCTCGTGGACAGCACTATAAACTAGAGATTTCTTTGGTCCTGTGTTAGATAAAACTGAAAGAAAACTGCAAAAATTTGCAAAACGCAAACATGGTTAAATAATATCTACATATTTACGGTACTCTGTATAATTGCACTACATTGACCCCAACCCCGTGCACTACAATGCCCCCAAGCACTTTCTTCACGTTGACTTCAATGATTGTAGGACAAAAGTTCCAATTTAAAAGTTCCAAACCAGAAGTTCCAATCCAAAAGTTCCAATATGAAAAAGTTCCAATAAACAAAATGTCCAATTTAAAAAAGTTCCAAAGTGAAAAAGTTCCAAAATAATAACTTCCAATATCAATAATTTCCAAATTTGAAAACACCAAAGTACACAAGTGCCAACGTGAATATATTTAGAAATAAATATAAAAATTTAATACATGTAAATAAATAATGCAATCAGTAAAAATATATAAAAAAAAATCGAAAAACACATAAAAAGCAGAAGAAAATTAAAAGGTTATGTTATGCCCGATATTTTTTAAGTAATTAATGATATCATCATTTTGAGCGTATTCGTGGTGTTTAATCACAATGTTGTATATTCTGTCTTCTATCTTTTGACGACTCGGTGGGCGAGGTTTTTTAATTTTTTGGCCAAGATTAAGTTGGGTTAGCATAGTCTCTGTTTCCCCTTGCTCTTTTATTATTTCCAACAGAAAGTTATATAAGCTCGGATGATTTCGGCCAACTACTATTTGAAATCTGTTATGCCATCCTAAAAGAATTCATGTTTTTTATTTTAAATGTACATACGTACAAATGTAAATACATATGTACCTTCAGATAAATTATTTGTGCGATGACGCTTTTGAAGGACGGACTCGTACTGATTCCACAGTCTAGGGGAATATCTTGGTAAAACAGCTCGTCGTCGTCCTCTGGCTGCTATACCTTTAAGGTATGTTTGTTCGAAGTATGTCGCTATGGGCATAAAAGTGTCGGGGACAGTCTCAATAAAATTGTCAAAATCTGTAATCACATTCTCTACAGGGACAAATGCTAGGGCACACATCATATGACTCGCATTCCTGATACTCCTATCGTTTTCGTCGTTATAGGCTTCTTGTAGACCTTCCGCTTGGATACGTCGAAAAATACTTTGACGCAGGTGAAAGAAGCAAGCAATAACATTGTCTTCGCCAAAATAAAGTTTTAATGCATTAATTATCGCCACTTCGAAGTCGGTCATGACTAAAGTTTGAGTCAAATCCACTGGGAGTCCAAATGTTGATGCCTCATGAAGAACAACTTCAAATACTTTTGAGTAACTGGTCTGATTTTTATTTTGCAGAAGTGCATAAACGTACGGCAATGCAAAAACTTGCTCTACGCCATTAACAATTTGTGTAATGGAGCCTAGAATCGCAAAAATCTGGAAAAGTCAATTTATAATTTATTTTTGTAGGATTATAAAAAAAGAGTTATGGAATTTTTCGTTCAATAGTATACCTGTGTAAATATTTCCGGAGAAGTCTTAAAAGTTCCGTCGACAAACCACATTTGTGATACCATTAGAAGTCGTAAATTTTCACGTGTTGAATATGAGGCATTCCATTTCAAAACGACCCCCTTCGTAAAGAATTGCCAATGTAAGACAATTTTTAAATGAATATTTCTTCCATTCTGTAGAACCAAATTACTTTTTATATTAGTGATTTCGAAAGTAGAATTTCTGAACTTTCTGATAATAAAAAAATATATTTTTTTAATAATTTAATTTAAATAGAAAATTGAGTTTAAAAGTTAAACTTTGAAAAATCTCAAAACACGTTACCTCCGATTTTAATAAAATTCATATCAAACGAAAGCTTGAATATTCTTCTTTTTATTTATCAAACGATAATAATGGACATTTCAGTGGATTTTGAGAAAATAATTAAATTTCACAAACATTTCGAAGGTTATTATGCATAAATTGGGAAAAACAAATGCCGCCCTATTCTTAATAAATGGTTTTCTCAATATAACCTTCGAAATGTTTGTGAAATTTAATTATTTTCTCAAAATCCACTGAAATGTCCATTATTATCGTTTGATAAATAAAAAGAAGAATATTCAAGCTTTCGTTTGATATGAATTTTATTAAAATCGGAGGTAACGTGTTTTGAGATTTTTCAAAGTTTAACTTTTAAACTCAATTTTCTATTTAAATTAAATTATTAAAAAAATAAATTTTTTTATTATCAGAAAGTTCAGAAATTCTACTTTCGAAATCACTAATATAAAAAGTAATTTGGTTCTACAGAATGGAAGAAATATTCATTTAAAAATTTTCTTACATTAGCAATTGTTTACGAAGGGGGTCGTTTTGAAATGGAATGCCTCATATATAATAATTCGTCCACCATCGTTACCGTAATTTGCATCTTCAAACGAATCATATAACAGAAAAAGCTGTTGCGGTTCAGCTCCAGTAAAGCGAAATTTTTGTGGAATTTCCCTCAAATCCTCAATATTTCGAGGATTGGCAGGCAGATCTCTTATTCGCTGACGTTGAACAATTTTTCGTAAATTATCTCGATCAGGCATTCGAGCCAGAACACCATCAGGGACATTTTGTACTGTTCGAATAATTTGAATTGGCGCCGTTTCCGGATGATCAACTGCTTTTCTTTTAAGCCCACTAACAACTTTTAAAGCTTCGTACTCTTCTCTATCAGGAGCGTGTTGATGTTCAGAGTCTTTCGGACCTCTCCGAACTTCAACTCTGCCAATAATATTGTAATGTCCCAAAATCGTAGCTCTGGCTGAGCATTCCTTTTTCTTTTTACAGGAATAATAAACAACACCATTCCCCGGAGAATGTCGCAAATATAAAAATCCATCAATATATAAATATCTTGTTCTCCCCGATATGAACACTTCCCCCATGTTGTATACGTTTATAAAAAAATTAAACAAAATATATAATATAAAAATACAGGTTACAACGACGTTAAACGTCAAATGAATTGAAAAACTGAATAAACATAAAATTCACATAGCAACATGTAAACAAAATAGTAGAATGCCGTGAATATAGCATGAAAATGTTTCCAAACTCGAAGTTTGAATTTTACAAAAAATGTTTGGAAATAAAAATAATTGGAACTTTTGGCTTTTGGAAGAAATAATTATTGGAACTTTTGGCTTTTGGAAAAAAGAATTATTGGAACTTTTGGCTTTTGGAAAAAAGAACTATTGGAACTTTTTGACTTTGGAACAAAGAATTATTGGAACTTTTTTTCCCTGGAACTTTTTTTTTGGAACTTTTGTCCTCCTACCACTTCAATATCTCAATAAAAACCAAATTAAACGTCAAAACAATACTAAATTCGTGTTCAGAAGTAAATTTTACATGGAAAAAGCACTTACCTGATACTTTTTTAACGAGCTTTACATTTTCTTCAAGGGGCCATTCAAGTATTACGTAAGCATATTTTTCAAGTTTTTAGACCCCCTCCTCCCCCATGTAAGATTTTTTATATGCATTAGCGCCATTTTTTCTAATGGAAATAAGCAATAGCTAGACCCCCCTGCCCCTTAAATGCTTAAGTAATACTTGAATGGTCTCCAAGTCACTAAAAAACGGAAATATGGTTTCGAAATCTAGTGTTTTTGAAGTGACGCCACAACTTCTTTTAGAAGAAGCACAATAAAGCCAAAATGATATACATTAATATACTTTGATACATTAAACTTACCATACCAACAGCAAGTAATTCAATTCATTCGTTTAGTCGGTAAAGCCAGTGCACTACATTACCCCCGGCACTACATTACCCCCCTCTACTCTACAATCAATTGAAAAGTTAAAAACTATAATCTGTTTAAACAATGGTTAAATAATGAATTTTTAGTATTTCTATTATACTTAAGTGTTTATGTTATAAAAAATTGCGTATATAAGAAAAACTAAGAATTTATAATTTTTACTAAAGTAAATTGAAAAGTAAACAAAATAAATAGTTGAAACAATGTTTTAATAAATTATTTTTTATTATCAGTAGATATATTATTCATGAAAATTGCACAATTTAGAAGAAACTAGTAATTTCTAGGCCTAAGTACAGTTAAAAAAAATTACAATTAATTGTTTAAACAATGTTTAATCGATGGAGAATTTAATTACGAAGATTTAGAAAAAAAGGAAAAGCGTTTTGGTAAAGAATTGTGATCGGTAGAGTGATTTAAAATGAAACTTGTGCCGCCATAAGAGAATACTGCACGATTTCCGGCAGGCCGCGCTAGACATTTTATTTTTTTCTTGTAAAGTTATTGTTTTCTCATAATTAAATTTACAGGAAGTATTTTTTTCAAAAAATGTTTTTCGGGCAAACAAAAAAGTTTCTTTTTCTTTAAATTACTTCTTATTATGAGTATTTTTCGAAAAAATTATCTTAATCGGTTAACAAGAAAAAAAGTTATGTGGCTTTTTTGAAAAACCGACCAAAATTTTTAGTAAGAGATAGGAAACTCAAAAAATTTTGAAATGTTTGAAAAAACTTTTATACATTTTTATTCCATGTATATATAGGAACAAATTCAGAAAGTATTTTTAATATTGCTAAAATCATCGAAAATTCTTATGATCACTTGGCGTGGAATTGGTCAGCAAATTTTTTTGGCTGATCGTAAAGAGAAAGCAAAATGTTTTTGTAATAAATATCTGTATTTATAATAATTCCCTGTTGCTTATTATTTAAAGTATTTTGAAGAAATGCTTATTTTTTCTTTATGTATTTATATTTCTAGAAAAGTAATCATTTGGAAGGAACTGGGTGAGTGGATAAAAATCTACGAACACACAAGTCACGATTCGTCTGTGAATTCAATAGCTTGGGCACCACATGAGTTCGGATTAATCCTTGGATGTGGCAGCTCAGATGGATCTATTTCCATTTTGACAAATAACGGTGATACTTGGGACACTCAAAAATTAGCTAATGCTCACACAATAGGTTGCAATGCTGTCAGCTGGTGTCCTGCAATAGAACCTGCATTTGAATCTACAACTGGTCATCAAAGAAATCCTCTTGTTAAAAGACTTGCAACTGGAGGTTGTGATAACTTAGTAAAAATCTGGAAGGAAGAAGGAGACAAATGGGTCGAAGAGAATAAATTAGAAGCACACAGTGACTGGGTAAAGTGCATTTCATTTCTTTAGACAAAAATATCAAACTAAGGCTTTATTACATTTCCCAAATGTGGAACCCAATTACACTACCGGTCAAAATTGAGAGACCACTCATTTTCAGATGATTGAAAAACATTTTAAAACATAAAATGTATGGAAACTAAAATTTTTTTCTTTTTATTTTTTAAAAGATGTTAAAATTTTGAAAAGAACAAGATCTTTTAGAAGTCATTTGGCTAATATTTTATTTAGATATTTTTAAAAAATCGTCATTTTCAATGTTTTACAAAAATTTGAACAACTTCTAAAATAATGAACGCTTTTTAATAATCTTAGTCTTATTTTAAAGATCATTTGTTACACTATAAGAATTACTTATAGGCATTAACGTGTAATTTTTTTCTTAGAAAATGCAGGCTGTCAAACACACCGTGCAGAAAGATGAGTTTTATCAACTTTCATTGTGGCAACTTTTTGTTACAATTTTATTATTCTACAAAGCTTCCTGATAAAAATGCTGCTTTGATGAAAATTGTAACAGCAAATTCTTCAAAAATATTAGAATATTTTTATAAATTGCGATATATAAGTAAGCGTTGAAAATAAAATCTTACATATTTGTATACTGTCGTACAAAATAAAAAAGTCTATAACTGTCATCGATCGTACATCGTTATAGTTCGGTAAAATATTTCGTTGCTTTGGGAAAAAAATGAGAGCTCATTTATCAAAATTTTTAAATAACAATTGCGGCAGTTTCTTAAATCAATCTGTGTAAGGTTTTATGATTTGCACAGTAAAAAGTAATTTTTTTAAAACTATCTGGAATTAATCAAGTCTTGAAAGTAATGACAGATTTCATTTAAACTCATCGATTTGCGTGAAAATAAAGATAGGCAATCTGGATTTGCAGTTCTAATTTTTTATATTAAGTATGCATCTGCTGATTTTGAACATGATTACCTTAAATTTAGCACATTCTTTGGTGATAATCACTATGCTTTGCTCTTTAAATTCAGTAAAAAAATATGATTTGAAATTAAACAAAGGCTGTCTTAAAAATGTTGCATCATAAATTAAGGTATCTTTCATGGCTAAAAATAAGACCTTCTTTTTACTGTGTGTTTGTTTAATTGTATGAAGGGGCGCATGATTATTCCCCAAATGTCATTTTTCCGAAATGTCATTTTACCGAACTGCACTTTTGCGAAAAGCCAATTTTGCGAAATGTCACTTTTGCGAATTGTCATTTTTTCGAAAAGCTATTTTTGCGAATTGTCATTTTTGCGAATTGTCATTTTTGCGAATGGCCATTTTTACGAATTGTCAATTTTCCGAAAAGTCATTTTTGCGAATCGACATTTTTACGAATTGTCAATTTTCCGAAAAGTCATTTTTGCGAATTGTCATTTTTACGAAAAGACATTTTTGTGAAATGTCATTTTTGCGAAAAGTCATTTTTACGAATTGCCATTTTTGCGAATTGTCACTTTTGCGAATCGCTATTTTTACGAATCGCCATTTTTACGAATTGTCAGTTTTGCGAAAAGTTATTTTTGCGAATTGTCATTTTTACGAATTGCCATTTTTGCGAATTGTCACTTGTGTGAATCGCTATTTTTACGAATCGCCATTTTTACGAATTGTCATTTTTGCGAATAGCCATTTTTGCGAAAAGTTATTTTTACGAATTGTCAATTTTTCGAAAAGTCATTTTAGCGAATTGTCATTTTTGCGAAAAATACAATAGTGAATTTATAGGCCTACAAGTTTTCTATTGTATTTGTCGCAAAAATGACAATTCGCAAAAATGACAATTCGCAAAAATGACTTTTCGGAAATTTGACAATTCGTAAAAATGACAATTCGCAAAAATGACTTTTCGGAAATTTGACAATTCGTAAAAATGGCGATTCGCAAAAATGACTTTTCGGAAAATTGACAATTCGTAAAAATGTCGATTCGTAAAAATAGCTATTCGCAAAAATGACAATTCGTAAAAATGGCGATTCGTAAAAATAGCGATTCGCAAAAGTGACAATTCGCAAAAATGGCAATTCGTAAAAATGACTTTTCGCAAAAATGACATTTCACAAAAATGTCTTTTCGTAAAAATGACTTTTCGGAAAATTGACAATTCGTAAAAATGTCGATTCGCAAAAATGACTTTTCGGAAAATTGACAATTCGTAAAAATGGCCATTCGCAAAAATGACAATTCGCAAAAGTGACATTTCGCAAAATTGGCTTTTCGCAAAAATGACTATTCGCAAAAGTGCAGTTCGGTAAAATGACATTTCGGAAAAATGACATTTGGGGAATAATCATGCGTCCCTTGTATGAACTAGCTATTCTTTAAATAGTTGTCAACAATATCTAAGTCTTTTGGCAAAACTCATAAAGTAAATCTAGGAAAAGTGTGCTGCCCTGGCGGTAAAAATCAAATAAGGGGGGAAAAGACCAAATCGTTTTAACAAATGAACTGTTCATTTGTTTAAAGTCAAAATAGCATGGTATTTTTTTCAAATTATGTTACCAATAATATTGTAAATAATTTTCTTTCATAAGTAATCATTTTTTTATGTTATAAACAAATTAAATTAACAAATTGAATTGTCCATTTGTTTATAGTCAAAATGACATCTTTTTTTAAGCGTTTTAAAATTATGTTACCAATAATATTTTTTTAGACATTTTTCATATGTTCAGCTGTCAATAGTAAAGTAATTCTAAAGCCATTAGAAGAAAAACAAATTTTTTTCTACTATAAACTAGCGAGCTATTCATTTGTTAATTTGAATTAAATTAAAAGTTGTTTTAAATTATTAAAAAAAATTTTTATTGTCGAAATATCGTTTTTATTTTTCATATGCTAATGCTCATAAGATTTAAACAATGTCGAGTAGAAACAAATTTTTTCCAAATATATGAGAATAAAAGCTATTGAAGTCATCCCTGGTTAAAAAACCGGACAGATTTCGGACTAATCCGAAAGGGCTTAGGGGTTAAGTGTGCAAAAACTGCCCCCGCATCTATTTTTCTCAAATTTGGCCCATATATTACTATCCAGATGACTATAACTTTCTGCAATTTTGAACTCAAAATTCGCTTTTTTGGGGGAGTTATGGAGGGGGAAAGCAAAATCAAAAAACTTATTTTTCTCGAAAACTACTGAACCGATTTTAATGAAATTTTAAGAGGTTGTAAATATAGATAAGACGATTTCAGAAAAAAAAAATCAAAATTTTTTTTTCAAAAAAAATTTTTGAAAAAAATTTTTGAAATTTTCAAAATTTTTTTTTAGGGTTATTTTTTGAAGTGACCACTTTCTCTTTTGTTGTAAAAAGTACCTTATAATGTCCCCTTTGACATATATTTTTTCCAAATTTTTTAAAAATATAGTTTTTGAGTAAAATGTCAAAAACCATGGTCATGCTATTTGCCACGTACGGTAATGCACATATATACATATGGGCAATTTCATGTGATAGGGTATAGCCAAATAAGTATGGAAAAAGTGACCCGAATATATTTTTCCTATTCATTCCTACCCACTTAAAAATAACTTTTTGAAATTTTTAACTCAAAATTTTGAGTTTTTTGGAACTTATGGAGAGGAAAAAAATCGAAAAACGCATTATTCTCAAAAACTACTGTATGCATTTTAATCAGCTTTGAATATGTTGAAAAGACAATTAAAGAGATTCCAAAAAAAAATTTCAAATTTTTTTTTCAAAAAATTTTAAAAATCTTTTTTTTTTTGAAATTTTCAAAAAAAAATTTTCTAGTTCTATTAAAGTGCCATTTTTATGTATTTTCTCATTTCATTCTCTTATGTGATCTACTTAATAAACAAATTTTGTCCGACATGATTTTAGGGTGTGTCACGGTAAATAACTCAAAAACATACCCGGTACATTTTTATATTGTATGTAAATGGTTAATTAATTAATTATTTATTTAATTACAAATTAATACTTAGGGGGTTTCTGAATACAAATCTGTAATCGATGTTAAAAAAAATTATTTCCAAAGAAAAATCCAAAAAATTTTATTTTGATTGGGCATTTAAAATTTTTTTCTTTTTGGATTGTTGAAGCGGTAGATCACTTTTTATTACCGCTTCAACAATCCAAAAAGAAAAAAATTTTAAATGCCCAATCAAAATAAAATTTTTTGGATTTTTCTTTGGAAATAATTTTTTTTAACATCGATTACAGATTTGTATTCAGAAACCCCCTAAGTATTAATTTGTAATTAAATAAATAATTAATTAATTAACCATTTACATACAATATAAAAATGTACCGGGTATGTTTTTGAGTTATTTACCGTGACACACCCTAAAATCATGTCGGACAAAATTTGTTTATTAAGTAGATCACATAAGAGAATGAAATGAGAAAATACATAAAAATGTCACTTTAATAGAACTAGAAAATTTTTTTTTGAAAATTTCAAAAAAAAAAAGATTTTTAAAATTTTTTGAAAAAAAAATTTGAAATTTTTTTTTGGAATCTCTTTAATTGTCTTTTCAACATATTCAAAGCTGATTAAAATGCATACAGTAGTTTTTGAGAATAATGCGTTTTTCGATTTTTTTCCTCTCCATAAGTTCCAAAAAACTCAAAATTTTGAGTTAAAAATTTCAAAAAGTTATTTTTAAGTGGGTAGGAATGAATAGGAAAAATATATTCGGGTCACTTTTTCCATACTTATTTGGCTATACCCTATCACATGAAATTGCCCATATGTATATATGTGCATTACCGTACGTGGCAAATAGCATGACCATGGTTTTTGACATTTTACTCAAAAACTATATTTTTAAAAAATTTGGAAAAAATATATGTCAAAGGGGACATTATAAGGTACTTTTTACAACAAAAGAGAAAGTGGTCACTTCAAAAAATAACCCTAAAAAAAAATTTTGAAAATTTCAAAAATTTTTTTTGAAAAAAAAATTTTGATTTTTTTTTTCTGAAATCGTCTTATCTATATTTACAA